ATTTACCCTGGAGCAAAGTGAACAACCCCTCCCCACCCAGATTTAAATAAATTTAGAAAATCTTTCACCGGATTGTAGTCCTTTGCATTCCCAAACTAACATATTTTGCACTTCATATGGTTCGTTCTTATTTGTATGAGTTATAAGTGGATTAGTGAATGCTATTTGGCTATGGAAGTGCGCTGCACTGATTGGCTTAAACTGCATTTTCTTATTAGAATTATATTTAAAGGTTAGAATTTATTACGTCATAATTTTAATAAAAGTATATTTTTTGGAATAAAAAATGCAAAACTTTGTACATGTTAAAATATTCAAAGCTAAAATGTGTGTGTGTTTTATTAACAATTCAAAAAGCAATCAATTTTATTTATTAAGTTTACTTTTAAAAGGGAAAATACATTATCAGTTTCGTCAACCACGGCTATTAAATTTAAAGAAACCTAAGAGTTTTGGCAAAATAGGCTATTCACGCTATGACATCATTGGCGTGATAATTGAGAACAAATTAATTTGAATTTATTTCGCAATATAAACAATGCACTAAAAGACGCACTAAAAACGACTGATGTCTGGGTTTTCCCGATAAATGTGATTACGGTGTAATTCGTTAAGCATGATTTTTTTATTTTTTCGTACCTTTCAAACACATATAAAATGCTTAAAATAGTTCCTTCGTTGATACTTTAAATGTGTTTGTAATTTATAATAATAATATTTAATTTTTTACTAAAATAAAAGCGGATTTAAAATATTTTTTGCACATTTAAATTTATTCTATTTCCGTAAAATATTAGAAAATAACTATGATTGTTTTTAGGAATCCGAACGTACTTAAAAAGTATCTCCCTTTTGGCGTTATGTGAACCTAGATCATGCTTATATATATTGCCATATTTACTTCATCAGTCAGACTCGAAAATAAATCAAGAGCATTATGTGTTATTCATTTTTAATAGTAGTGTTGGTCTCTGTAAGGGTTACTTTTTTTTTTTTTGTCATGTATATATATATTATATATATATATATATATATATATATATATATATATATATATATATATATATATATGTTTATGTAACAAATATTGCAACTGGTAATACTCAGGGGTTGGCAAGGAGGGGTAAATTTTAGCAAATGGAGTAAAAATTAATATTTTTTGGGGAAATAAGAGTAAGAGCTCAATAGACAAAAATAAAAATTATTTAAAAAAAGAACCTCTCTTTTTACATTTTTGTTTTTTGTTTGTTTTTTTTTTTTGGCCTGGCAGCACTCCATCTTGCAATTGTAATAGAGAAACATACCCAAAATGATGGGTTAGTAGTTGCCTTGGAGCTAACATATAATGCACGTCTTGTCTTGTAGATGTTATTTTGGCCTAGTCGCATTTTGTTTTATCTTATGCAGGGCAAATCCAAAGTTTGACACCCCCCCACCCCCAAATTTCAAAATAACTGAATCAATAAAAGTAATACAAAATAAATATAAAATTCCACCCTTTGAGACCCCCAAGTGGGCAGGGCCCCGAGTGATTTACTCGGTTGCCTCAGCCTCTGAATCAGGGGTGTCATTTTCGGGTTTTTTTTAAGTGGAAGGAGGGGGGGGGGTCGAAACCAAAAAATTTGTTAAGTTGTTTATTACTGGAGGCGCCATAGTACATAGCAATTTAAATAAAACCTGCAAATTCGGGAGGGGGGGGGGGAAATGCCACCACCCTGTCCTACCCAAATGACGTCCCTGCCCCGAGTGCCCCTGATCGTATGGCCCGATATGTCGGGAGTTGCAAAGGCGTTTAAAATGGGGGGGGGGCGAAAACAAAAAATTTGTTAAGTTGTTTATTACTGGGGGGGGCATAGGAAAAAGCAATTTAAAAAAAACCTGCAAATGCGGGGGGGGGGGGGGGAAATGCCACCACCCTGTCCTACCCAAATGACGTCCCTGCTCCGAGTGCCCCTGATCGTATGGCCCGATATGTCGAGAGTTGCAAAGGCGTTTAAAATTGAACAGGGGGAGCAGTTTGTCAGCAAAGATAGGGTGGGGCAGTTAACATCCTACCTTTGTCAGCAAAGATAGGAGGGGGCAGTTAACAACCTACCTGTGCCAACAATGATAGGATGGGACAGTTAACAACCTTCTTCTGCCAACAAAGATATGAGGGATAGTTAACATCCTACCTTTGTCAGCAAAGATAGGAGGGGGCAGTTAACATCCTACCTTGCAACAAAGATAGGAGCGGGGCAGTTAACATCCTACCTTTGCCAACAAAAATAGAAGGGGGAAGTTAATATCCTTCCTTTTCCAACAAAGATAGGAGGGGGCAGTTAACATCATACCTTTGCCAACAAATACAAGAGGGGGCAGTTTACATCCTACCCTTGTCAACAAAGACAGGAGGGGGCATTTTACATCCTACCTTTTTCAACAAGGACAGGAGGAGACAGTTAACAACCTACCTTTACCAACAAGGCAGGAGGAGACAGTTAACAACCTACCTTTGCCAACAAGGACAGGAGAAGACAGTTAACAAACTACCTTTGCCAACAAGGCAGGAGGAGACAGTTAAAAACCTGTCTTTGCCAACAAGGCAGGAGGAGACAAGTAAAAACCTACCTTTGCCAACAAGGACAGGAGGAGACAGTTAACAACCTACCTTTGCCAAATAGGCAGGAGGAGACAGTTAAAAACCTACCTTTGTCAACAAAGATTTTTCACTCTAATTATCCTTAAACACAAATCAGAGAAATCGATTGAACCCCGACATTGAACATCTTGGTCCAAAACCTTAGGTAGCCTAAAACAAAGTCTTTAAAAATACCTCTTTGTACCCTAATATATTTTATTAACTTATTTTAACTCATTCTATAATTTATGCAATAAGTTTTGGCGTAAACACATACGTTTTGGGGTGATCTCTAGAAAAGTTCCCCAAGCGTGTGTAATACTACCAGACCTGAAAAATTGTCGTTAGTTGCGTTGCTGTTGACGGTACATCACTAAATCCGACAGGACTAGGAGCCTGGCACAAGGGAATCCTATGCAGCAGGCGACCCGCGACTAAAAACAGCGTGGCCCACATCATCAAGCCGTGCTGTGTGGGTCTGTTTGGGGAGTGTGAGATGGTGTCGCATGAACACTGCACCTTCATTGGCGGGACGTTTCATGTAGAATGTGACCACTGTGTGCAGGTATGTGACCACTGCGTGCAGGTATGTGACCACTGCGTGCAGGTATGTGACCACTGCGTGCAGGTATGTGACCACTGTGTGCAGGTGTGTGACCACTGTGTGCAGGTGTGTGACCATTGTGTGCAGGTGTCTGACCATTGCGTGCAAGTGTGTGACCATTGTGTGCAGGTGTGTAACCACTGTGTGCGGGTAAGTGACCATTGCGTGCAAGTATGTGACCGCTGCGTGCAGGTATGTGACCATTGTGTGCAGGTGTGTGACCATTGTGTGCAGGTGTGTGCCCGCTGTGTGCAGGTATGTGACCACTGTGTGCAGGTATGTGACCGCTGCGTGCAGGTATGTGGCCATTGTGTGCAGGTGTATGACCACTGCGTGCAGCTGTGTGACCACTGCGTGCAGGTATGTGACCACTGTGAGCAGGTGTGTGACCATTGTGTGCAGTTGTGTGACCTCTGCGTGCAGGTATGTGACCACTGCGTGCAGGTACAGTCATTATATAGATTTTATAAATAAAGATTTAAACAGCTCTTACACCTAAATCATCCAAGACCTTCATTTAAAGACAATTGATAAGTTTTATATTAATTAAGGAAGGGGGCGGGGGGGGGGGGCATCCATATATATTACCTACACTTACATGGGTGTTCATTTATGCGATTTTGCGTATGGGGAGAGGGGCCTCGGAGGAATGTGTATGTTACTTAAATTTATTCACTAATTTTTACAATTATCATTCTTTAATTCTGAATCAATGTTTATATCTCTAGTAAATCCAGATGTCACACCAAAAACAAAAGTGAAATCCGGGATTTTTAATTATTTTCGTCAAATAAGGTTTTAAATATATCAACGCAATATTTCATGTCTTCATTTAATTGACCCGACCGAACGTCACAAATAAATTGAAACGGTTTGCTGTGCAAAAAAATAGGGGAAGGGAGGGATTTTCATTTGCACATAGGACCTACATGTGGGGGGAGGTGTCCAAAGTAAATGTGCAGGCATGAGGGAGGGGAGGGTGACAATTGAACTTTTACGCGTACATAGGATGACCCCTTACAATCATTTTAGAAAACATTGACAGTTGAACTGCCTCAATGATGTGTGCAAAGTTAAACCGTACCATTCACTTTTCACAGTTGAACTGCCTTTAATGATGTGTGCAAAGTTAAACCGTACCATTCACTTTTCACAGTTGACCTGCCTTTAATGATGTGTGCAAAGTTAAACCGTACCATTCACTTTTCACAGTTGAACTGCCTTTAATGATGTGTGCAAAGTTAAACCGTAACATTCATTTTTCACAGTTGAACTGCCTCAATGATGTGTGCAAAGTTAAACCGTACCATTCACATTTCACAGTTGAACTGCCATCAATGATGTGTGCAAAGTTAAACTGTACCATTCATTTTTCACAGTTGAACTGCCTCAATGATGTGTGCAAAGTTAAACCATACCATTCATTTTTCACAGTTGAACTGCCTCAATGATGTGTGCAAAGATAAACCGTACCATTCACTTTTCAGTTGAACTGCCTCAATGATGTATGCAAAGTTAAACCGTACCATTCACTTTTCACAGTTGAACTGCCTTTAATGATGTGTGCAAAGTTAAACCGCAACCATTCACTTTTCACAGTTGAACTGCCTCAATGATGTGTGCAAAGTTAAACCGTACCAAACCAATATTGTACCCTATGAAAACCACCCGTGGCTCCCTGGCCCCGACACGTACTGGCAGTGGTGGAGGTTCATCACAGCTATACCACTGTCCTATGGTATCATCCATCTTCTTTGCCTGGTGCCCATGGAAGTGTTGCTAATGATTCCCTTAGAGACATGTGCAGGATGGCACAGAGTGTTTATCATATACGGTATCAGTTCCATGGCAGGCGAAGCGGTAAGTTTTTTTCTTGGATTCAAATATAATTATTCATTGTCTCGATTGTAAATATGAAAGGATGAAAGCTTATAAACCTAAGGTGTTCATTTGTTATGCCAATTTTATTTTATTTTTTTAAATTTTAAAAACTTTTCATTATCAGCATATATTTACAGATTTTTCAAAGCAAATTGTAATGGAAATGTAACATAACAGTAACAGACTCGATGCAAAAAGCTTGGTTTGCTTGTATAAAATGGAACCAAAGTGTATTTGCATTTAACTTTGTTTTTGAATTATAGTTTATGGAACAACCTCTCGGCTCTTTCAGAAGAAGCAAATCCAATTTTTGAGTAATGTACACTTTACTATTGAGACCTTTTCTTTTTAAGTAGATTTTTTTTCTTCAAATCTGATCCAGTTCTGTTGTGATTGTGAGCAGATCATTTCAATTCCCAATCTTATCCCCCAAAACAACAGAGCAAGGAAACCCTAGTTCGATGTTCTTAGTGATACATTTTAAATTCCATAAATTTCATCTATTAAAAAAAAAAGCTGACATTCCATCAAACTTTAAGTTATGCAATCACACCAGATTTACTTCATATGCACATGACATCTTAGGTCTCATTCATAGCGAAGAATAGCAACTACTTTTCATGTCTCAGTAATTTAGATTTTCAAAATTCCATAAAGGGTTACATAGATTTATCAAGAACCCTTTAATCAATACCACACTACAAAAATTATTACTGTTTTTTTTTTTTTTCCACGTACCAGCTGTTAGATGTTGTGTTCAGCCTAATAAATATACCTCTTCATACAGGTTGCCAGCATTGTTGAGCCAGACTTGCCTCATGTTGGATCAACGAGTGGGGTGGGGGGTATCCTCGGCGTAGCAGTGCTGGAGCTTCTTCAGGCTTGGAAGTTCATACGGTATCCCTTTTGGGAGGGCATTAAGCTTTCGGTACTGATAAGCATGCAGATCTTTCTAGGAACTCTTCAGCTTGTGAACTTATTCTCCTTCTTTGCAGGCCTCGGGGTGGGAATGATGAGTTGTTTGATGATAGTGCCGTACATCACGTTTGGTCGCACGCTGAGTCATCTAAGGTTTCGCCTGGTCATGTTGGGCTTTTGTCTACTGGTGCCAACATTAATCTTGATTCAACTGACATTCAAATTTATTCAAGAGATACGCCAGTGTCCAAACTGTGTGGCACTGGAGTGTATACCATATACCTCAATTATGTGCAAGACATACAAATACTGGAATTAATAAGTCATGGCTTTCAGCATTTTTTGTGTGTGCTCAGCTGTTAACTGGACTTTGGTAAACTGAACAGATTGTGCTAAAATTGATTCACATATATTTTAGTTTTTTTCAATTAAATAATAATTTAAATATAAAACTTCTAGTTCTAGCATGGAGACTTGGGACACTTCTACTATCACTTATATTTTTCCCCTTCAAATGTATATATAATTTTGATAATATACATTTCATCCATTACTTAAACTAATTAATTGGACATGAATTGTTATTTAATTATTGAAAATCAATCATGAAGAAATAGGCGAGACAAATCTTTTTTTTAGCTTGTCATTTCCATGGTCTAAAGCCAGAATTTTGTAGACATTTTCTTGAAACTTGAACATAACCATTTAACATAATGAAGTTTAAATTGATTATCCAAACAATATCAATGCAATTCCCAATAAAATGTATTCTGACCTGACCTCATTATTACACGACCATATTTATCATAAAATTGATTATCTTCCATCTGTAAGTACTGGTGGTTTAAGGGAGCTAAAGTGATTTTATTTTTGTAGTCACAAAATACAAATCCGCTATACCAGCACCCAGATTTTTTTGTTTCAAATGCATATTAATGCCCCACATAGTTTTTTTGCTAGCAATTCAAGTTATATGGTTGTTGAAAGTTTAAGTATCTGTTCATCATCAAAAGGCCATGGTAAGTGAGTTCCAACTGGACAATTTTTTTAAATGTCATTGCTGTAAGTGTAAGTAAAACTCATTTTTTTCCTTCTAGCAACTTTGCTCTTTTCTCCAAATATTGTGCAATGTAAACAAAAACAAAACAAAAAAATTAATATTTTTAAAAATTTAACACAAAATTGCATTATTATTGAAAATCCTCAGCTGATTTTAATTTTTTTCTTCTTTGGTTCATTACTTTCAAAATCATTTTCCAAATCATCATTCTCTTCACTTTCATCACCATCATTCTCTTCACTTTCATCTCCTTCTACACTTGAATCTGGATCACAATACTCTTTGTTTAACAGCCACTGTTCTTTTTGACTTAATGCTGTTGCAGCTTTCACCGATATCACAGACTTGCATGTCTTTCTTGATGCTTAAAATATAAATACACAAGCAGTATATATTTTAATTGTAAACATTTTACAATACGATCAACAGCTTGCTGACAAGTAAATTCAATGACTTACTGTGTTTAAAAAAAACAAAAAACTAAAATGAGTTTAAAAGTTCATCTTACCTGCATGTTTTAATACAGCTCTACAATTTCCACTGATTGCATCTTTGGCCTGTGGATAACTTAGGCCAAATAACCTAGCTCTAATTTATGCATTAAGGAAATATCATTTAAAAAGGTAGGGGGGGGGGGAAGAGAAAGTTTGTATGTCTTAACCATAAATGATTACTCTCCAAAAATTCTTAATTATTCAAAAAGCAATTAGCACCTTGTTAAGTTGTAAAACTTTAATAACCATAATAAAATATACTTTTAATATTTTAAGCCTTTCGACCATTTTGGCATTTTATCAAGACTTATCAACATGAAATGCAAAACTTTAATGGAGGTTTGTTAAAGAAATATTTTCAATCAAAACTCACAGAACAACTGAAAATCTAAAAATCTCTTCAGCCACTTCCACAGTTTTTTTTAAAATTGTTCTAATATCAAGGGCAACTGACTGGATTATAATTAATGTAACCGTTAACCAGATTCTCTGATTCTCCCTTGTCTTCAATAAATAATATAGACTTTCAAGTTTGAATTAACTGATAACCTTTGAACCGCATTTAATAGTATAAGCTATATTAATATAAATCAACCTCAGTTTTTGTTACTGTAACTGACAATGACAATCATTATAGAGTGATCATAGCCAGTGTTTAGCTAACTTTCATTCTCTTTTTATACAAGTTTTATGCCAAAAATACTTCAACAACTCTACTTAAGCATGTGGACTGAGTTAATGGTCAAATTTCCCCCCAAACAACTTAATTTTCACAGCATCCATTTTTTTAACATTTTTATTTCCCTTCTTTTTCAAAAGGATACAAATTAAAAACGTCCATTGGACTTCGCAGAGTTGAAGGCTGATGAACAAAGTATTAATAGGTTAACATATTAAAATATTGCACTTAAAGTAAAATTTAATATTTTTTGTTTACACTAGAAATTAAATGTTCTGTTGAAGATGGAATTCATAGATAAGATTTTTTTTAAATTAGTTATTATTGTTATTTTTTTAATTTGAATAAAAAAACAAAATGTTATTGATTTAATTAAATTGAAACCATTTCTAAATTAAAACCAAATTAACAACCAAAAGAATGTGCTAAATAACATCTCTATAAATTATGACAAAGTCCATAGAAGTATTGGAAGGTAGCTTATAAAATATCCCTACTTCTTATATTAAATGGGCTGAAATTTAAAGAATAATACTTGCAGTCATTTTTGTATCTGTATGAATCAGATTATGTTTTTATAAAAACAGCTTTAATACAATGCCCAATTAACCTTGATTCAGTTCATTTATAAATAAACCAACTTGTTTGCTAAATTTTAAAAGAAAAGTTGTGAACCATCTAAAGATGTCATTGTCTTTGATTCTATAAAATTCTATATATTTTCTCAAAATCAGGATCCTTTTTACCCAAAGAATAAATCCTTTAAAGTTAAATAATTAAAAGGATTAGAAAATACAAATTCTAAAAGCTCATGACTTGTATTCATTTTTTTAATCAATGTCAACATACCACTTACATATTCAGCACCGCTACTAAGAATTATGTTCTGTTAAAGAAAAAATATGCATAATATTAGAATATTAAATTTCCATTGATATTAAAAGATGATATATAAGCAATATTAAATTACATTTCCATAAAAGAAAATGAAATAAAAAATGTCTGATGCAACTAATAGAGAATTTTTTTTTTACATTTATCATTTAGTATTAAGCGTCCTAAAATAGAAGTGTCTGGTACATTAGTGTTAACGAGTTTATGATACATCATATCAAAACTCAATCTGGAGTCACATATAAGTACAAGAATCAGAATTTCTGATAGACACTTCTTGAAATATTACCTTGCCAAGGCAGACATTCACTAAAGACATAGCATTTGATATGGTTTGACGCTTCACTACATTGTTAATTAAGGCTGGTCCATAAAGGATTTCAAAATAGATCCCTCTTTTTGCAGCCTTGAGAAATAGAGTAAAAACAAAGCATTAAAGTTACATAACAAATGGATTCCTAAGTGCTTTTCAAGTGCAGAACTATTGGAAAAAGAAATTAAAATACAGTATTTTCAAAATGTTGCATCCTTTTTTATGTGTTATTATCACTAACGTATCACAACTTCTTCACAGCAGTGATTCTCTAAGAGTGAATTAGAAGGTGATGGCAGAAATTGAATATTCAAATAAAGTCAAGGATTAAGACTACTTAGAAAAATTAAAAATACTTTAAAAAAAATTATATCATAATCCAGTTGATTAATTGTGCTAAATGAAAGTGATGCCGAGTAAGATAGTAAGAAGTTTCAAAATTCACGTTTGAAATTGTACTTCAGAGAAGAAAAGTTGATTTCAGCTGTAAAGCAATTATTTGTCCATAATATGTTTTTGTTTGAAATTAAGAATGTTTTATTTATTTAGTACAAAGCAGGACACATGATAAGTTCTATGGAGTTCTTGATGCAGATGAAACCCTAGCTTTTAGATGATTTGTGAAACTAATTTATTTTTTGTTGACACTTATTTTGTTTTTACGTGTCAGTGCCATGCCAAGTGGGTCAGTATTCTCTGACAATGGAAGGTGGACGTTTTTTCAATGAGAATTTTTCTATTGCCCAAATATAGCAGCAAGAGATGACAAATCAATACAATCAACCGTGTAAAATTTATCTACTTAAAAGTTTTATCAGTCGAACGCTCTTAAAACTACAATGGAAAAATTTAGACCCCTGCCTGTTGTTTAACAGACAAATTGGCACTACTATTGTGCCACTTATCATGGACAAAAAAATTAATGTTTAATAATATTAACAATTAAAATCAATATAATTTACAAGGAGGGGTATTTCAAATGCATGTTTATGCTAAGAATAAAAATTTTAGCCAATTGAATGAAGAAATAAGTTTATTTCTTTTACAACCAGTGGACCAAGTATTTAACTTGGTGGGCCACGGGTTGGCCACTCCTGCATTAAGCCTAAGGGCCCGATTTTTTTTTCCATCTCATAACCACAAGCAAGCTGTATCGGAAGAAGTCAAAAGGAGATCTTGAACCAAACTGGGGTATTAAAACTGTACAGCTGCTTGGTGATTTCTAAAAATAGATTTCAAATGAAGGTTACTTGATCTTATATTGTGTGTAGGGGTTGAGAATTCATAAATAAAAAAAAAAAAATCTGCAGTTTTCTTCATTTTCACAATCATGGTTAAGACGAAGACCACACCAAGTATTACTGTTGAACACACAAAGCAATAATATGATGATCTTCACCATCATTACTAAAAGTGGCGGTCTTAATCTTACATTTGAACACCTATTCCTTATCCCCTTGCATTTACACATATACACTCATTATTCAACACCAACCCCTCCTACACTGTCAGTGCATATGTAATCTAATTATGAATGGTCCCCAACCAATTGTATTTCTCGGTCCATTCACCATCAGATATAGAAAGGAGCTAAACCTAAAAGACAAAAAAGTTTTTGTTCTAATGATACAACTATCAACATATATTTATTCAATCCAGTCACGTAAAATTGCAGTTCTGACAAGTTTCAGCATGACACAGTCATAAAAATCATCTCAAAATCGTAAATTGATCACCAAAATCATAAGAGTAACCAGGTCTAAAACATAACTTTAAAAAAAATATCTATTCATAGCATTTTGATAAATTTTTAGAAATTTCAAACAACTTTTTATATTTAAAAAAAATGTAACAATTTACACATACAAATTATTAAAAAAACAGAGGACATTGCTTATAGTTTACTAACCGCATTTAAAAGAGATCTCTTGTGTGAAAAACCTATTTTCTCTGCGAAGTTAAAGGATATGATATCAATATCTAAAGTCTGGCATGCTAGCTGTGAAATAAACATGTAAAAATAAGGTATTAAATGATATTAGCTAAAACAATACAAAGATACATTTATTCTCTCTTGATGGTGCTATTAATTATAATTGTTTGTAAGACTTGCTTTTTTGTTTGTTTTTCCTCCAAGAACAAGTCAATTACATTAGCTTAAGAGAAATGAGAAATTTTATGACAAAATGTTTCATCAATAAGGGAGAAGGTATTATAGTGTATGCACAACACTATGTTGCTAAATTAAATGCCTAAAATATAGTATGGTTACACCTGTTTAATTTTCAACACTAGTTAAATGTGGTAAACAGTAAAGATTCTATAATATTTCCCCTGATTTCAACAGGGTAATTCCACAACTTTTAATGTTAATGCTATTTGGATTCAAGTAAAACATTATAAATTATAAAGGTGATAACTTGGGAGCCTAAAAAATATCAAGAAAAGTTAAACATTTTCAAGATTTAACAAAAGAAATTAAGCTGTCATTCCGATTACCTTAAAAGTTGCTTCAGTTGTAGGTTGAACTGCTAGTATGTCATAAGCCTGTATATCAGAGCCTCCCTAAAAAGTAAGTGAAAACCTAATAGAGTGCAGTTTGTTTCCATTTTGTTGAACCAATAAAATAATGTCAAGGTCTTCAAGTTTAGTGATGAAATACTAACATTCTATTAAGTAGAAAGGACACAAAAGTTTATCATACTGCATATGAAGATAGATTAATTAGACACAATTTGTGTCAATATAACAATATATGTTGAGCTTTAATAATAACTTTACATAATACACAACTAGACGTTTTGGCATATGCCTTCATCAGTATAACAACAAAACATTTAAATAAATAAGTATAAAGTAATTTTACATAGTATATATATATGCATATATCCTACCTAAAAAAGGAGAAAAATAGGAGTGAGTGCAAAAAAACCAGACAGAAACAAAGTAAAGAAGAATGGAAAGGAAGTGATTTGAAGTAAAATGTAGAAAAAAAAAACAGGAAAAAGACATGGCAGTTACGTAAAAATTGTGGATTTGGATGTGGATTCCCGTATGGAATCAACGTACCAAATCTTGTTATTAATTTATTCTGCATAAAGATCCTATCAGGTGTGTTATTAGTATACAGAATATCAGTTACTGCCATGAATAAAATTCCATCATCGTTAGAGCTATTGAAATGTTTGGAGAACAGACAGAGAGCCTGTTTATTTATGTTATAGAGGTGTTCTCTACACCGGTCTCCAAAGGGGATGACCTGTCTCTCCTATGTACAATTTACCGCACTTTTTACAAAGGATGGTGTAAATCCCTTTGCAACTTGTGCAGGTAAAGCCATCTATTATTCCGAATATTTCCAGGGGGAAAGTGATCTTATCAACTTCAATCACGTAGGGACATGTGTTACAACGGCTACAGTTGCAGCTTTTTGTGCCTTTAAGTGCTTTAACAGCAGAGAGGTGGCTTATAACTAGCACATGAAGAAAAAATTTGGTAAAGAATTGAGAGGGTTGGTTTTAGTATGTGGCCACTGGGCAGGAGAAAAAGTGCATGGGGGTTAAATAGTAGCAAATAATTAGCTAGACCACTCATTTTTATACCACAAACTTTGGTTTTAAAAGTAAAGCATTAGAAGAATTAATTTTTAATACAAATTCAAATTTATTACCAGTCTGGGGATGTTGGTATCATCTTGCAGCACAACAGTTATTCGAGATAGCTGCTCAAATGTTTTGCCATTAAGCTAAAGTGTTTGAAAAAAAGAAAATACCACAAAATAATTATTATTCCTACTACAAAAAACAGTTCTCAGAAACCCTTTTTTTCTAAAAACCATGTTAAAATGTTAATACTATGTAATTATGTGTACACTGATCTAGAACAAAATAATGAAAGTGATCTGTCCATAAAATTAGCCTTGAACTTGAATTCATTTTAATTAAAGAGCAACATTTGAAAAATAAAATTCTCCATAAAATTATTAATATTTTAAACTCATCACAATTACAGTAAGCAAACATATATGTTGTTCTTGAATCTATATAACGTCTAGCAATTTTGAACAAATATATGTTTTGCTAAAAACTTTAGAATTTCTCACCTGTAAGGAAGCCAAGCTTTTTTCATTAAGGAGAATCTCTGAAGGTGGTGAAACTGCAATCTGTGAATAAATAAGGACTCAGATTTCATTAATTTGTCCACACTAAGATATCAGAATAGGCAACACACAATATACTACCACAGTGATTCTCAACCTTTCTAGTGCCGCGACCCTTTAATACAGTTTATCGTGTCGTTGCGACCCCCTGCCACACAATTATTTTCGTTGCTACTTCATTTTTTTTTACTTTTTTTTTTGCTGGCATCCGTCCGTCACAATCTGACGATGGAGTGGGCTTCGGAGGACGAAATCCACATGGCCTGGGATTATACTTGAAGGATTATAAGCTGGTTCCCAACAGCAAATCGCCTCTCTCCACGCCGCTGGGTAACCCAAGGGAACATCATTGGATGATACAGCTTGGCACCAGTGACGTCGCAGGAGTTGCCGGAATGTTTCATTGTATCAATGTTATCCGCCTTTCGGGACTCCATCTCCGGGTTTGATTTCAGAGTTCCCTTCTCTTAGATGAGTTGCCATCCAAGGTTAACGAGTCTCATCTACCCGGGGTGCTGGTGGTGTTATTGCTTGACTGGGCTCTAGCTGGAATTGAACTTCAGACCACCAACTTGAGATTTGCTCCGTTTAGACCATTCGGCCACCCAGCACCCTTCATAGCTGTAAGGATATGTGTTTTCAGATGGTCTTAGGCGACCCCTGGGAAATGGTCTCGCGACCCCTTTGGTTGAGAACCGCTGTACTACCACATATTTTAATGTCCATTCCTGCTCCTTACATTTTATGTGCTGTAACTAAAAAAATGTACATACATGAGAAATTGTTTTGTGTTATTTTACCATGTTGGCAAAGTTATCAATATAATTATGACTTGTCGGTTTCTTTAGAAAGATTCCAAAGTTTCTTTGTTGCAGGTTTATTTAAAACAAATTATGAGAAAAAAAAATTATTCTCTTGTCTTCAGTTATGGTCAGCCTGAAAGGAGATTAACATGGATTTTTTTTAATGGTAACAACAAGTTTTTTTTAACAACTTAAATGCACATTCCACTCATTGTAATTGTAAGAGTTGAAGCTTACAATAGAAATATAACATTTTAAATACAATTCACAACTTTACCAAGTATTTAAAGCTTATGTTTAGGAACTTCTCAACTAATGCAATCAGCTATTGATTTTTTGGTTTTTGTTGCTGCCATTTTCAGACAAGAAATAAATTTACCTCTAGTCAAACATATGTAGTTCAGTAAATTATTTACACCTTAAATTTTCCTTCATTCCCACGTAAATATTTTCGTGATGTAAATTTAAAATAATATTTTGGCATAGGTTCAAGTTGCATTTTATTGTCATGTTTTGTATTTAAAAACATAAATTATTAGAAATAAATCTTTTTTTTCTCTCCCTGCTATTTATACCAATAACTATTTAAATCTCGAGAAAGAATAACTTTAAAAAAAAATGTATTAGTGTATTAATTTAATAATTAAAAATTTTATTTTTTAAAATTGATATGACAGTATGTGGGATTTATCAATTACTGTATATTCTCATTTAAAAGCCTAAAATGTGTGTAACCCGCTGTTATTTCCTTAGCTTAACCTCAAGCTCTTTTTAGCTCACCGCTGGTTTCTATTTTTAGCTCAGCATTTTTTTATTTATTTTTTTTGTACACATTAAGCCACTCCTCTTTTTCTTACCAACAAGATGGTCAGAGAATACTTTAAGATCATTGACTTTCTAAATTTTTCTCTCCCTGCCTATATAAATAAGACAGTAGGGAGAGATTCTTGAGACCTTCAGAGACATGAGATTGATAGTGTATGTGACAATACTTATTTAAATTTAAGAAACATACTATATTACGGTGAAACCAAGCATGGCAATCAGTTTGCTGGGGGACAGAAGAAAAGTTTTAAAGACACACTGAAAGCATCTTTGAAAGTGTTTCACATTAACCCAGCGCTCCTCCATTCACAAAAGGCTCAATGCAACATGAGGCAAATAAAATAGCTGCTGCAGAGCACAAAACAAAAGCCAAAAAACACTGAGTTTAACATGGCGTGGTCCCATCTGTCCCCTGCACCTTCTGCACATTAACATTTTTTGCCTTATTTAGCCTGAATTTTTTTTTTTTTTTAATATCCAACTTGTTTTATATTTACACTATCGGTAGCTTTGTGTAGTTGGTTTTTATTTACTGATCTTTCAGTTAATTGGTATGCATAATTTTTCTAAACATGCCAATTTAAAACCAAATAATTTTTTTAAATCTTATAATGACCCCCAAGTAACAAATTTTAAACCTTATTAGAGTATGTAACAATGCTCATAAGCCAATCTCCTTCAATATTATGCCAGTAGAAACAGTACGGTAGGTACTAAAGAAGATAATAATTTTTTTTAATTTTAAAAATTATTTAACATACAGTTTAATGTATAAGACAGATACTCAATTCACATATCTACTATATGTTAACCATTCTGAACATTTCCAAAAATAGGACCTCAGCTTCTCAAATAACAATTTCATTATTTAATATTGCTACTTTGATACTCTCTAAGCACAGCCAACCAGGACAGTCCCAAAATGAGGACAAAACATGTGACCCAATTTTGCACTCAAACAGCTTTATGTTGAATTCTGTTAATTACTAATTTCTTCATTCTTTTCTCTATAGAATCAATTTACCTGGTGAAAATATAAAAATCTCCTATAGCCAATACATAAGTCAACGACCATAGCTATTCCCCTGAAATATTTCCTTAAAACAATTGACTAATGAATGAGTACATACAGTGCAAGAAAATTGGTAACACAATATCATCCAATTCAACATAATGAGAAACAAGATAAAAACCTTTTCTGTTTGTTTTTTTCCTTTTCCTCCTTTCAAATTTGCAACAAAGTTGTTTACCGCCACTCTTTCGAATCCCACTGTAAATAAAAATGAAGTAATTAAATATCTGGTGACTTTTATTATAATAAAAACATAATAAACCTTATCCTTGTCACATCCTTTGGATTTCTTTTGTTTAAATTGTTATTATCCTCTTAATTGTAAAATGTTGTCTTGGTCAAAATATGTATTTATTTATGTGCTGAAAATGAATATGTACAATGTAATTTTAAAAATCCATTTATTTGGATCAATTAAAGAAATATACCTTATATAGGCTTGTCATGCTAGTGCACTTGTGCAGCCAAAATAATAAATCTATATAATGTTGTAATGTGTAGTTTTAATTACAGGTTAAAAAAAATAACATTTGGCGGGATGCCACCAAAAAATCAAATCCTTAATGTTTTGCAACATTTCATATGTTCTGGTTTAAAAAGTTAGATGAAATGATATGTCTACAATCTTGATTATTTTCAACTCTAACTCAAAATTCTAAACAGATCCAAATACAATAATATTAAGATGAAAACATCATCTTAAGTAATCAGTTTCAGGATTTCTTGACTCATTATATTTTATATATGTAACATGTAGGCATGCTTAAATTCTTATTAAATTATACACTTTACACAGGTATCAACGTTCCCTCAACATTAAGTAAAACAATATCAATATGTAAATGAAAATGTAAGAAGGCCTATATGTTAAGTTCACTGCCATTAAGTGTTACCTGAGTCTGAGTGTGCATAAACTTTATATGGCATTACAATTACATGACACACTTTTACTAAAGAGAGCGTTAACCATTCAACACTGTTGAGTAACTTTACCTAGGGCTAGGGACTTAGGCTACCACAAACGGGTTTTTCTCCCCACCGTTATACCAGGCTTAGACAGAAATCATACACTAAATTATGATTTCTGTCTGTGTTTGACTTATGAGTTTGAGTACGTTGACTAGTTTGAGTTTGGTTATTTCTCAGGAAGCCTAGTAAAGTAATAGTAAATAAAGTACATTGTACATTATCCGAGGCACTTTGATGAAAATTTCTTAACATTTTAAAAAATATAAAAAATACTACAGCTGTATAGAGCCAATAGAATGGTTTACAAAAACACCAAGATCAACTCTCTAGCTCAAGTGATGCAAAAGTTATTAATTTTTTAGTATGGACCTCAAAAGCACTTTTTCACTATGGGATTTTCCTCCACATTTCGTCCCCCTTATATTGCTATTGTTTTTATGCCTATAACTTTGTTATAAAATGAGACAAAAATATAATATTTACAGGGAACACAGTTAAATATGAGTTCTTCAAAATTAAGCCACAAAATACAATTTTAGTTTTTGTTAATATTCTGGAAAAATAATTTTAATCTTGATAATTTTCCTTATTAAAAATGTATCAAATTTGCTGACTCATCACTTATTTGTATTTAATTAATATATTTTTTTAAAAAGTATATATAATGAATTTCCCTAATTTTATAATAGTAATAATATTCTTTAGATATTAATTTCAAATTTTAAATGGAATTGTTTAACATTTATAAGTATAAAATAATAATACAGGGATTATTTGATTCCTTTATCTAAAATTGACCATTATACTTTTTATTTTTCCATTTTCTATATATGTATTTTTAGTCCCATTTGAATATGACCAAAAAAATAGTAGATTCTTTATTTTAAGTTAGTAATCTTATTTCATAAATCAAAATTTATCAACTTTGGCATTTGATAGAAATTAAAATAAGTTCTAGTCATTTGCTTGAAGTAAGTACAAGCTTTTATTATTATTCTTTAGTAATATCTGAAGAAATTATTGGATCACTGTGTTATTTCTTGAATATTGAGGATTATATTATATAATAAGTTTCTTGTGGAATATATATATTTTCCAACTATAAGTGTAATAATACTACTACTAAGGCTAACTAGGACAAGGGCTATTTATCCCACTCCCCCAATTTATACCTCAAAATAAAAGCATCAGATAATATTATAAATAAGTTTTTGTGCTATTAAATTGATGCTTTGTTTCAAATTAGTTATTATTGGGTAATATGCTGGATTTCCAGTGTAAATCAAGTTACTTATTACAATAACGTCCATTATCGATAATAGGTAATTTTGGGACACATGTGACAAAAATTGTGCACAAAAATTTCTCACCCATGCCGGGGTCCTAACCTCACGAATTTTGGATATGTTGTCATTTATGCCTACATCTAACATTGGTATTTTCTCTTTTTAAACTTACATTTTCCAAATAAAAATTATGAAAGAGTCAAATTAGCTATTATTTACCATTAATTTTCAATGTCAAACCTTCAAATTTTTTCTTAAAGAAAAGTATTAAGTGAACAACAAACATGTCTGCTTTAAGTTTAAGTTGAGGGCAGAAATAGAATTTAAAAACAAAACTAACTTTAGCAAAAAAACATCATAAACAACACAACCCTCGGTAAATTAAAAAGTGGAGGTCGCCGTTATGACAACGAAATCACGATACCCGGTTTTCGGCACTTCCCGGATCATTAAATTATCCTATAAATTATATCTTGCCAGAAAGGGGATTTTATTCTCTTTATTATACTTACAAAAGAATGATTGATGTCCGAATGATGAATAAGTTGTACTGAACTACTTACTTATACTACTAAAAATTAAAAAAACTAGTACTGTTAACTTAGTAAACTGTAAGTAAATGTAACTTACTAAATTAGTCTAACACTCACACTAACAAGAGTCTGTAGTGAACAGGCAAAAAAAAAGCCGAGAAGCATAAAACCAAAAATTAAATATAGCAAACTTACATTCTATGCTCAAATCAATTATATCCGTCAACTTTTCTCCAGATTCCCCAAGTATATTTAAATCAGAATAAGATGGGAGCGCCATTATTTAATTCTAGCCGCATCAATCAAATTTCATTTATTATAACATGCTCCGCATGAAACACAAATATTGTTAATCCCTCTTTTTTGTTTTCTTTCAACAAAAGAGCACTTCCATCCATTACCTTTGACTGTGTACATAATTCCCGTCAGGTACGTAAACGAAATTAGTACCGGTACTTTGAACTATAACTGAAAAATGTTAGCAAAATGACTTTCGTTATAGCAGAAAATGCAACTTATAACTTATAAGTGGTTTTAATATTGGAAGAAAATATTCTAAGTTGTTATAGTATAAATAGATATAAAGGCAAGCACAGTTAATACATAGAAGTGTGAATTATCGTTACAAATAAGCTACAAGAACAATTGATTTATAATCTAATCTGAAATCTGTTGGATAGTTTCCAACTTGTATCCATGCCATAGTTTAGATATGCATATTCGCAACTACCCGTATTCATAGCTCCCTCCAAAATGCATTGAAAATTGAGTCTTAACATTTTTAATTTCATATTTGATGTTGCCAAGATTCTTAAAATTTATAAAAAGCAACAAATTTCTAGCAATAGACGAAAAAGAAATAGACTGTTGCTATTTTTTTTAAAAATCTATAATTTAAACACTTTATCACGTTTTAAACACACACACATATATATATATATGTATATATATATATATAGTCTATATATATATATCAAGGCAAACTTAGTTTTAGTATAGGCCTAATGACATCTTAGTTACTTTTTCTCTTTTCTTTTGTTTTTTTTTATATTCGCTAATGATGGCTTTCATACATCCTGTGTATAGTTTCTTTCTTGATATTACCCTACAACGTCTTGAACGTAGTCTCAGCAATATTATCATAATATAGAAATAGAACATATATATGTATATATATATATATATATATATATATATATATATATATATATATATATATATATATATATAAAAATTATAAATTTAGTCATCCATGTGGTGTTCCGCAAATGTTTTTTTATAATAAACAAACTTTTTAAGTAGCCTACCCAGGGCCGTCTTAACAACATAGGAGTCCCTGGTTACAGCAATGCACTGGGGCCCCCTAGCAGCACAACACACCTGGGCCGTGAGAAGTGGGGTGAAGGGGGGCACTTGACACATGCTCAAACAGTTGGGAGGTGGGAGGGAAAAAGTTCCTGCTCCCCACCAACTCACGAAGAGGAATAAAAATGTAAAATAAAAATAAACATTCAATAAAGTTAAATTTCGATGAATTCAATTTATTGATACAAAAAAAACAAAATCATTCAAAATCAATAAAATAATTTGTTTTAAAACATTATCAGAAAAAAAAACTATAAATAATCACAGAGGATGGTATTTTATCATTATTGACAGATGGCTAGAATACATTATTTAATATAAATCAGCATAATCGTTTGCTTAATTTCTTTGCATAGAATTGTTTCATTATTGGTTTAAATTCATTGGTCTTGAGGATGTCATTTTCCATGCGCATAAGTGAAAGCCAGTTCAAACGTTTTTGTCATGTAATACTGCGAATCTGATTCTTTCCATATTTTTTTTTTCGACTCATATCTGGGAAAAGTAAAACTTGTTGAGGAGCGTTATTCCCCTTTAAAAGTTTTAAAATTGTCCAACTTTGATTCGCATTTATAATAATAATTTTGGAATGTGCTGATATATCATGGGTTAAAATTTGGAAATTGGGAATTTTGCATCCAATTAAATTGTCAAAATCTTTCGATATTCATTAAAAATTATGTAGCATGATGCCCCTATAAGAGTGAGTCTCCTGGGCCCATGCCTTAAGATGGCACTGAGCCTACCACTTTGCTGGACAGCTATTCTAATTTAGATATTCTCATTATTCATTATTTTGTTTTTTAAAAAATGCACATATGCTTTTGTGAGTATGTGGGAGGTGCAATCAGTAGTATCATTAGGAGTGACACACTCAAGGAGGGGGCATACCAAATGGAAAATTGCAAAATTTAAAGATTCGCGTGAGTCGGTTTTATAATAAAAGAGCAGGGTTACATCAGATCAAGGTGTCGCCAGAGCGAAATATATGAGACGAGGCAGGGTAAAATCTGAAAGAAAATGACGCAACAAAACAGTGAACGTGTTGGTAAAAAGCCTTCTTCAGCGAAAAAACACAGAGTAACACAAATATAAACATTAAAATAAACACTTAGATGAAATGTAGTATCCGCGAGGACAGCAAGAGGAATATAATAGACAATTAGTAGGTGAGAGAGTAAATATAGGTAATATTGGAAGGAAGAGAGGAAAAGTGAGTCCATGGTGAGTTTGGATGTAAAAAAAAAGTGTGTGGGTGGTATAAAAAGTGAAGGCGAATATGACGTTCATGCCATATTGTGTCAAGGTCCCATAAGTGTGTATCAATTTGTTTTCCATGTTCCCCCTGGTGGGTGCGTTGTAACAGGAAACAAGGCCAAGTCGATGGAGCCTTCATGGTAGCTTCTATTGAAGTGTTTTGAGACAGGACACTGCTTATCTCGTGAAATGTTTCGAAGGTCTTCTGTACATCTGTCCCAGAGATGCCATCTAGTCTAGCCCCGACAAGTTATATGGAAGCGGGTACAAACAATATATAACATTGCGGCTGGTGCAAAGGACCCCACCCCCTCATCTGAAGACTACCCTTTGGGAGTGGGGGCTGAGAGGCCGAGTGGTCTAAACTGAGTGAATCCCAAGCTAGTGAACTGGAGCTGAAACCCCAGCAAAAGCAAAAACATCATCAGCATGGGACCCATTAACCTTGGATGGCAACTCATCTAAGTGAAAGCAAACTCTGAAATCAAACAACCCGGAGTAGAGTCCCATAGGCGGTATGACATTGACACGATGACAATGCCGAAAACTTCTGGGGCGTAGAATGCATAAAAGCATGCAATAAAACTCACAAGACACTTTGATAGTCATTTAGTGCATCCTCGACTATTTCCAGTCGTATTGACTAAGTCTTCTTCTTCTATACATTAAGGGCCCACGATCAATGTATTGATCGCCTGGTATTAAAGAGGATATTTCACTGGTTGCAAGGGCTACTCGGCGAGGGTATCAGGAACTGGGGATTGGAAGGTCTGAGGTAAAAAACACAAATGTGTCAAGTGTTGCCGCCACAACTGTTCCTTTTGGAAGCTTGTTCCAGTCCTTGATTGTCTTTGGCAGGAATGAGCAGTTCCTTTACTGTGTTCTTGCTCTTATGAAACTGCCTGTCATGGCCTCGTCACTGTCTAGAGGGGGGGGGGACGAGTTTCTGTTTAATGCTGGAGCAGTGGACCAGCCCATTATTTATCTTGTACATCCTGGAGAGCCTGGATAAGCGTCTTCTTTCCTCCAGTGGTGACCAACCCAGTGTTTCTAGCATGTTGCCAACACTAGAGATGTTTCTGTGGCGGTTAAGAACAAAGCGTGCTGCCCGTCCTTAAGAACCCCAGGGTCTTGTTTGTTTGCCTGGTTGCACACATTGTTAATATACTCGTCCCAGTAGACCTCTCTTTGAATGTTTACACCGAGATATCTTACGGAGGAAACTGGCTCAAGTATTTGGTCATGCAGTTCGTAATGGTGGAATGGTGGAATAAAGGAGTATCAATTCTAGAGACTGGGAGTGTCTGGCACTTGGCAGGATGACATTCCATGTCCGAGCTCATCTCCCACTCAGCTAACCGACTGAGATCTTATTGTAGCTGGTGCTGGTTAGAACTGTTGGCGATCTTCCTATGCACCGCCGTGTCATCTGCGAAAGTCTTACTTGAGATATCAGTTTCTCGGGTAGGTCATTTATGTATGCTATGAACATACGGGGCCTAGCACCGAGCCCTGCGACCTTGACACAACATGGCATTCGTCTTGACTAAGTCTTGTCACTGGATCAAATAATGAAGGGTGAGAGATGGAATTACTTTCTTTATAGCAGAAAATGCAACTTATTTTGTGAGGATCAAGAATTAAACAAAATAAAACTCAAGTCAAGGCTACTACTCAAGTTGAAAATTGTATTGTCCTGACCTTCGCGTGCGAATGACGAACTATATAACTTTTAGGGATGGGAATGTGTTGAGTCTGAATGGCAAATAGAGCAAGTATTGCAACGGCTGCGTCCACATGGCTTGGTCCCAAAGTGGAAGGGGTAGCACGGAGGTGGATGCGAACAAGGAGATGTCGTAGATTATTATCTCTTCTGAAAACAATGAGAGGTGGAGTTGATGAGAAAATGTTGTGGGTGTCAGGTTTGGCGAGGAAAAGGAAAAAAAAAAGTTGGGGCCTGGGGGGGGGGGGGGGGGGGGGGTGATATGTGAGAATAAGTTTGGTTCTGTCCCCATTGTCACTCGGAAGAGACCTGACCGGAAATAGTCGATCATCTCAAGTGCCTTGTCTCATAAGTCATCCTCAGATTGGCAAAGTCACCGAAGACCAAGTACTTGAGAAAAGAGAATAGAGTCCTTACAATATTGTTGGTGGGAAGAAGAGAAGATTAATTAGCTGTGGCTGTCAGTAGGTTTAAAGTAGGTGAAAATCTCGACCATCTCAAACCTACCAATAACTTAAACCCTCATCAAACTATAATCGGCAACAACTTTGTCTTTTGCAGAACGCCCGCCCCCCTTTCCCGATCTCCCACTCTCTTTTGACGAAAGGTCTCTTACACATTTACCCAGAGCAGTCTTCTGGCATTCATCCATATCATATATAAAATTTTTACCATTAATAGAAAGTAGGAGTCACTAACTTATCTAGGCCGTATTGTCAATAACAGCATTTCCCAAACTTTTAAGTTTGGATGTCCGGTCTTAAATTTATTCCCTTCAAACCATCCTGTGACCGCCACGAATTACTTTAGATTGCTCATCGCTTGTTTTGGTCTTTGAGACTTCAGTTTCACTTCGCTGGGAAAAAGAGCACCCTTCCAGGGGATGAGTTGTTCCCGCTCCATATAGAAAGTAATTCTAGTTGTACAACACCATCTAACCAATCCAAGACTTTAGACCTCTACACCAGTAATACGGAAAATGACTCAAACTCAAGGAATCTCCTTTTGGCCCCTCTCCGCCACTCTAATCTTTCTGAAG